TTTATCAGGTTACCATTACACTGGGTTTGAGTGAGAGGATAGAGGAATATGTTTATTTATAGTAGACTTAAAAGATGTCATTAGAGACCCAGTGTAATTAAACAATACGGTTGCAGAGGTCACATTTTAACATTTGTGTCCACTGGCCAAATGGCTAGCCTAGCCTCATGTTGAAATGTTACCAGCCACTCAATAGATTGCCATTGTTATGTTTGGCTGGTGCGTGCAACATACAGAACCAGCCACTTGCATGATTTACCAGCATCTGGCTGGTAAATGGTGTTAATGGTAGATATCTCTTTTGGAACAGGTCATGTTTTAATATCACCAGTTCAGTATATTTCAGATAATATTGCAGCAATAGTTTTTTAGTTGCAAATGGCACAGAACAAATGTTTACTTTGAAGTACTTTTAACACAGTTTCCCTGCGGGGGATTAATAAAGTATTTGTGATACTGATTTCTGATTCTGAAGTGTTTTGCTTATAAGTTGTTTGCATTTAGCTAAAGTGTGATGTTTGTCCTCATATTGCAATAGCCTGTTTAAAGTGATCATATAACAAACAACTAATCAGTACTGATACTGTATGCTAATAGATATAGGAGTGATAATAATACAGTAAATGCTTTGAATGTCTTAGATATAGCTGTGCAGTATTCTTAACAGACTGGATAGCAGCAGACAATAGAAGGCTTATTACAACCAGAAGAGACATGAGACTTTTATTTTTTAGAGACTTGAGACTTGACTTGGACTCGTGACCAAAGACTTGAGACTTGATCAAGTCTCACCCCACAAAGACTTGAGACTTGACTTGGACTCGTGACCAAAGACTTGAGACTTGATCAAGTCTCACCCCACAAAGACTTGAGACTTGACTTGGACTCGTGACCAAAGACTTGAGACTTGATCAAGTCTCACCCCACAAAGACTTGAGACTTGATCAAGTCTCACCCCACAAAGACTTGAGACTTGACTTGGACTCGTGACCAAAGATTTGAGACTTGATCAAGTCTCACCCCACAAAGACTTGAGACTTGACTTGGACTCGTGACCAAAGATTTGAGACTTGATCAAGTCTCACCCCACAAAGACTTGAGACTTGACTTGGACTCGTGACCAAAGACTTGAGACTTGACTTGGACTTGCAAAAAAAAGACTTGTGAACATCTCTGGTCCCTGCAGCTATCTCTATCCTTAGCTCATTTGGTGCTGTATCCAGTTATAAACTCAATTTAAGTAAAAGCGAATTGTTCCCTTTAAATAGAGCGCCGCGTGACTTCCCTCTACATAGTCTACCATTTAAAACTGCACTACACAGCTTCACTTACCTCGGGATCCAGGTGACCGATACGTTTAAAGATCTTTATAAAGCTAATTTTGCCCCCCTTCTGTCCCGCGTACAGGAAGACTTCGACCGCTGGTCAGTGTTAAATCTGTCTCTGGTTGCCCAAATTAACTCTATCAAGATGAATACACTCCCCAAATTTCTATATTTATTTCAAAGCCCATTTTCCTACCTCGAACTTTTTTTCGTAAAACTGACACTATTATTTCTAACTTTATGTGGAACAAGAAAACCCCAAGGATACGCAAGCAATTTGTACAGAGACCAAAGGCGCGGGGTGGACTTGCTCTGCCGAATTTGAGGTTCTATTATTGGGCTACAAACCTGAGAATAATACAGGCCTGGCTGCAGTCTGACTCACAGCACTCTCTGTTTGGCTTGAAATGGAGGCTGCTTCCTGTAGTCCAGTATCTCTCTCAGCATTGGCTCACTCTCTCATTAAGACCCCCTCCTCTGCTTACACTAAAAATGTAATTGTCAAAGCAACCTTGAACATTTGGTATCAGTTCAGACGTTTCTTTCATCTCCATCTACACTAGCCCCTTTAACTGCAAACCATGTGTTTCCTCCATCCTTAGTAGATGGCGCCTTTACTATTTGGTTTAACCAAGGCGTTAAAACATTCAAAGACCTTTATGTTCACAACACATTTGCCTCTTTCCAACAGCTATCTGATAACTTTGCACTACAGGCAACATTTCTTCAGGTATCTACAGATTTGCAGTTTTGTTAATAATAGATTTCCTCAGTTTCCTAATCACCCAGCTGATTCGCCGCTAGACGTACTCCTGAGGCCGTTACCTACTCTGAAGGGAATGATGACGTGTATTTACGCTCAGATTTACTCTCTTTCTTTGGTTACCCTGAACTCCATTACATCTCTTTGGGAAACAGATCTTGGGGAGGAGATTTCTGAAGAACTCTGGGAAAAAGAACTCGCTAATGTACACAAATCTTCTATTTGTGCTAGACATGGACTGATTCAGTGCAAAGTAGTGCATCGCACACACTTCACTAAGCTCAGGCTCTCTAAAATATATAAGGAGGTGGACCCAACTTGTGACAGATGTAGACAAGCACCGGCGAGTCACGCACACATGTTCTGGTCTTGTCCGGTCTCACACTCTTATTGGACTGACATCTTCAGATCACTGTCAGAAATCACTGGAAAACCGGTCACTCCTAATGCCATGACTGCACTGCTTGGTGTGACCCCACCCACATGACCGCACTGTTTGGTGTGACCCCACCCACATGACTGCACTGCTTGGTGTGACCCCACCCACATGACTGCACTGTTTGGTGTGACCCCACCCACATGACCGCACTGTTTTGTGTGACCCCACCCACATGACTGCACTGTTTGGTGTGACCCCACCCACATGACTGCACTGTTTGGTGTGACCCCACCCACATGACCGCACTGTTTGGTGTGACCCCACCCACATGACCGCACTGCTTGGTGTGACCCCACCCACATGACCGCACTGTTTGGTGTGACCCCACCCACATGACCGCACTGCTTGGTGTGACCCCACCCACATGACCGCACTGTTTGGTGTGACCCGCACCCACATGACTGCACTGTTTGGTGTGACCCCACCCACATGACCGCACTGTTGGTGTGACCCCCACCCACATGACTGCACTGCTTGGTGTGACACCACCCACATGACCGCACTGTTTGGTTGTGACCCTCCACCCACCATGACCCGCACTGCTGTGGTGTGACCCACCCACATGACCAGCACTTGCTTGGTGTGAACCCACCCACATGACCGCACTGTTTGGGTGTGACCCCACCCACATGATCCGCACTGTTTGGTGTGACCCCACCCAGCATGTACCGCACTGTTTGGTGTGTGACCCCCGACCCACATGACTGCCACTGTTTGGTGTGACCCCACCCACAGACCGCACTGTTTGGTGTGCCCCCCACCCACATGGACTGCACTGCTTGGTTTGGTGACCCCCACATGACTGCACTGCTTGGTGTGACCCCACCCACATGACCGCACTGCTTGGTGTGACCCCACCCACATGACCGCACTGTTTGGTGTGACCCCACCCCACATGACCGCACTGTTTGGTGTGACCCCACCCACATGACCGCACTGTTTGGTGTGACCCCACCCACATGACTGCACTGTTTGGTGTGACCCACCCACATGACCGCACTGCTTGGTGTGACCCCACCCACATGACCGCACTGTTTGGTGCGACCCCACCCACATGACCGCACTGTTTGGTGTGACCCCACCCACATGACTGCACTGCTTGGTGTGACCCCACCCACATGACCGCACTGCTTGGTGTGACCCCACCCACATGACTGCACTGCTTGGTGTGACCCCACCCACATGACCGCACTGTTTGGTGTGACCCCACCCACATGACCGCACTGCTTGGTGTGACCCCACCCACATGACCGCACTGTTTGGTGTGACCCCACCCACATGACCGCACTGCTTGGTGTGACCCCACCCACATGACCGCACTGTTTGGTGCGACCCCACCCACATGACCGCACTGCTTGGTGTGACCCCACCCACATGACCGCACTGTTTGGTGTGACCCCACCCACATGACTGCACTGCTTGGTGTGACCCCACCCACATGACCGCACTGCTTGGTGTGACCCCACCCACATGACCGCACTGCTTGGTGTGACCCCACCCACATGACCGCACTGCTTGGTGTGACCCCACCCACATGACCGCACTGCTTGGTGTGACCCCACCCACATGACTGCACTGCTTGGTGTGACCTCACCCACATGACCGCACTGCTTGGTGTGACCCCACCCACATGACTGCACTGCTTGGTGTGACCTCACCCACATGACCGCACTGCTTGGTGTGACCCCACCCACATGACCGCACTGCTTGGTGTGACCCCACCCACATGCCCACTCTCTTCTCTGGAGACAGCCTTCATAGCCTTTGTTACCTTACTAGCCAGACGCCTGATATTGCTCATGTGGAAGTCTCCAACATCCCCTTCACACACCTCGTGGTTAAAAGAAGTCCTAAATTCAGCCAAACTCGAGAAAATAAGGTGGATAGTGAGGGGCTCCTTGGGGAAACTCCACAAGATGTGGAACCCCTTCTACAAGTATATACGGGAGCTGGACATGCCGGATGTCTCCGTACAATAGGGAGGTGGACATGCCGGATGTCTCCGTACAATAGGGAGGTGGACATGCCGGATGTCTCCGTACAATAGGGAGGTGGACCTGCCGGATGTCTCCGTACAATAGGGAGGTGGACATGCCGGATGTCTCCGTACAATAGGGAGGTGGACCTGCGGTGTTAAACTGTGATTAGCGGGCGGCTGACTGACCAACAAGTGCTTTGTTTATTTTATTTTATTTGATATACTTGGTCTTTTTGTTCCATTTATACACATTATTTGATCTCTAAATTGCATTATGGTATTAATAATGGACTTAGACTCAGAGCCTTTAGATTCTGACTTTGTTTTTTATCCTGTCGGACTCAAATCACACTGTTATCATCCTAACTTGTTTGACAACTGATATTGCGTTGTCTGTCTGGCTGTTTGTTGATAAAAAACTAAAATAAAAAGTTTTAAAAACAACCCAAACGGCTGCTCAGGCAGTTCAGTGAAAGAAGAAGCTGCACCCCATGATTGAAACCATGATTGTTTATTGGACATTATTTTGTAATATGTTTAAAGACTTTCTAATTTCCCACATATTACATTACAGACTGTTTTACAAGTCTTAAAGTCGGTAACAAATACATTTTTCCTTTGGACGGGGCCAGGGGCAAATGGGGTGGATCTCTGCATCCGATCCTTGGCAGTGGAATGAGTGGAGTGGCCTTTCTTCTTGAGGACGGCGACAATAACAAACAGCAGGGGGGGGAGGAAGCCTCACAGCATCTCCGGGGCTACATATGGGCTCCTGCTCACCATCGCCGAGGGCAGTAGAGTTCTGTTAAGAGCAGACCCAACAGAGTCAGTGAAATGCTGCCAGTCATGACAGTAACTAAGTATACTCACTCAAGTACCAAAAGTACTGTTTTGACATGACTTTGCTTTGCTTGAGTATTTTTCATTTTATTTTAGGCAAATGTTTTACTCCCCTCCATTTATTTAACACTCACAGTTACTAAGTGAATACACATAATACTCTGCTATGATATGATGCAGTACTGTGTTACTATTCACCCAGTGTCTATATTGTCTCCAGACTAACAAATTACAACATTAAAATGCTCTTTTACGAATCTATTGGTGAATCTCTTTGGTACTCCATAATAATACAATACTGTGAACGCTTTAGTTTTGCACATTAAGTAGGTATACAGTAAGTATATTTCGCTAAAGATATTTCTGTATTTTGACTGAAGTGGCATTTTGAAAGCAGGAATGTTCCTTGTGATGGAATATTTTTGGACTGTAGTATTTTCTTTTTTAGTAAGTAAAGGATCAGAGTACTTCCTCCATCTCTGATCTCTGCACAGATATCTGGTCACACAATTGATCAATAATAGATATAGATCGAATGGACAGTATTATGAGCGTTTATGTGTAGAATGCGGACTCACCTTTGGAGGGTAGTAATCGCACTGAACAGAATCGAGTCCCTTGGATATTAAGTAAGTTGAATGGCAGAAAGCATGGCGCTTCAAAGAGAGAGAGACAATTATCTCAGTGAGCAACACTGTCGCTTGATGTATAGAGGTCACATGACAGTGTGTCGGTAACATGAACAAATCCTTCACATGGCATGAAGTCGATCTCATGATATCAAAGTCAATACACAGTCGGTCACATGACATTAGGTTGGTAACATTACATAACGTTGGTCACATGGCAAAATGTTTGTCACATGATATAACGTTTGTCCCACAACATCATTTCGGTCACTTAACATTACAATGGTCAAACGATATAAAGTTGGTAACATGAGAGAAATTCGGAACACGACATAATATTGTTAACATTAAATAATGTCTGTCGCGTAATATAATGTTGGTCACACGACATAACGTATGTGAAACATCATAAAGTCGGTAACATGACATGAAGTCGATCACGTCATATAAAGTTGGTCACATGACTGAAAGTCGGTAACATGATATCACGTTGCACACAAGAAACTAAGTCTGTTGCATGACTTACCGTCTGTGACTCGACGGAAAGTAGTCAGGGGAAACAATGTCAATCATAACGTTGGTCACATGACATTACATGTGTTGCAGGGTTTCCGCTAGGATTTTTTCTCGCCGGTCAAATGTCCGGGCAGAATTTATTTTACCGGACACATTTGAAAATTACCGGTCATATTTCAATAATAATAATAAGAGTTGTGTAGCAGAGTTTCCGTTAGCAGGTAATTACCGGACTATGAGCGGATATGCTGATGTTTAAAACTCAGTTCACGGGGCTCATTTTTATATTGCTTCAGTTTATAATCGTAACAGATCGAACAATTCAGATTCATTTTTCAATAAATGATTCAACAAACAACAAACAACATAATTATTACATTCAAACAAACTACTTGTAGTAGATAACGTACATTATTCAAAAGTTTACATTAACTTTGAATAATAACACGGGAGAAACGGATGCTCTCTTTTCCCCTCTCTCCCTCTCCCTCTCTCTCTCCTGACAGCCCGTCAGTTTCTCATGCAGCTCGCTAAACAGTGGGCGGGGCTTCAGGTGATCATGCAGAGCTGCGTGTCTCGGTCTGACTCAGCAGCTGATCTGATCTCTCTCTCGGGTCCGGTTATACTTCACTCGCGTTTATGTCCATATCGATCAGATCCAGCTCTCCTGATCGGCCTTTATAGAGAGCACCGATCAAACTATTAAGAGTGAATATCGGCCGATAATGACCGGCGGCCGATCTATCGGAGCCTCCCTAATTATTACCAGACATTTTGACCGGCAGGTTTTGAATTTACCGGTTTTTAATACATTTTACCAGATAAAACCCGGTAATTACCGGCTAACGGAAACCCTGATGTGTTGGTCATAAAGTTAAACATTCTTAGACCTATTTCCATATGTTGTTGTTCTTGAGATGTACCGGTATGTTGGCACCATTTGTTGTAATAATTACACTATTAGCTTACTTCAAAAGGATAGTGTGAGTCAAGGTAACCTATAGACCAAGTCAGTGAGATCATGTGTTGTGTTCAGTAGCATTTCAACTGGAAGTAAAACTTGTCTTCAACTGATAGTTTCTTGCAAATGCAGTGATTACATGTCAAAGTGTGTCTTCTATTCGTACGAGTTGTACTCACAGCTCGATCAGGGCAGAGGGGTCTGCAGACCTCAGGAAGGATGCTGGATCCCATTGGGCAATGGGACTCCACGAGGGCAATCGCAGCCGCGTAGAACAAGTTACTCCCCAGTATCGACTGAGAGAGGAGGACATAGCACTGCATGAGGCTACAATACATACTGTGTGTGTGTGTGTGTGTGTGTGTGTGTGTGTGTGTGTGTGTGTGTGTGTGTGTGTGTGTGTGTGTGTGTGTGTGTGTGTAAACAGTCACATGTGGGGACTCGCCTCCCTTATGGGGACAAATTGGAGGTCCCCATGAGGGGAATCATTAATTTTAGGGTGAAGACTTGGTTAGGTTTAGGGTTAGGGTTAGGGTTAGGGTTAGGTTTGGGTTAGAGGTAGGGTTATGTACTCCGGTGTGGGATTATGTTGCACTGGCCTAGGGGTCCGTGGATGGGTGTTGTGAGGGTGTCTGTTGGTGTTGGGGTCCATGGGCCAAGGAGGATGAGTAGGTCAGATCATCCCTGGGACTGGTGGGCAGAGGAGAGGGAGGATCCAGAGGAGATACGTCTTAGGCGTCGTTGAGTCCCCTGGGTGTGGTTGTCCCTAGTTTCTGGATCCATGATGTTTCTGCCCTCTCCCTCTGCCCGATGGTCCACCGGTCATTGGTTAGGGTTAGGGTTAGGGTTAGGGTTAGGCATGTGTTGGTTATGGTTAAGGTTAGGATAAGTCTCCAGGAAATGCATGTAGGTCAATGTAATGTCCCCTGAAGTGATGTATACATGGTATGTGTGTGTGTGTGTGTGTGTGTGTGTGTGTGTGTGTGTGTGTGTGTGTGTGTGTATTCTATACCCCAATTACAATCCGTCCCACGTCCTTCAGGATGAAGTAGTTCTGGTTGTTGGTGTTCCCGTTGACTATCTGCACAGCTTCTTTTACGGACTTCATACCATCAGGGTCATGAAGTGAGATCAGATGGGAGCAGTCAGGGCAGATGCCCGCCATCTCACGGTGTGTTAACACTAAACACACACACACACACACACACACACACAATTATGTGTCTGTCATAACCAATAGTTTTCCCAACTGTAACTCTATGGTAGTCATATGGAGATATTATGAATAGCGCCTCCTGAGCGATTGGTTGCATTGCAATATACAGGGTTCGATTCCTGCATGTCTTACTCCTTGCTCCCCTCCCCCCGCCCCCAAAGAAAACAATCATCTAAAAGGAGAAACCCTTTCCAGAGTTGAGGGTTTCAGGCAAAGTGTCCATTATCAATGTGCTGTTGCGTGTATTGCATGACAGAGACCCACCTTTTCGCGTGTCACAATGGTAATTTGTGACTCTGGCGTCACCACTTCTCACACTCATGCTAACGGAGCAGTTAGCCATCACCTCCTACAGAGAAACACAGCGCTTGTTCTGTCCAGACCTCACATAACCAATAACCATACGTCAATCTGGCCGTACATGAACGAGACACAATTTGGCTAAAGAGTAACTGATCCAACATTTACCCAGTCCGTCACATCGCGGATCACACAGTCCTCAAAGTGCATCGGGTTGATGTTGTGGCACGTTGTCTCCATCAGGTCCAACTGCAGCTGGATTTTACAGCCGCCATGGACCTGCAAACAGTGTAAGTCACATTTCATTTCCATTTAGATGATACTTTTATCCAAAGAAGCCAATGAAGGGAGCGGAGTAGCAGGGTGGTGTGGCAGAACTTAGTGAGATGATATGGAGCTTTTGGAAATGTACAATATGAACATTTTGTTTAGTGAGCACATAATAAAACAGGACTGTTTTATTTATGATGAAATATCCCTATTTTAAAGCTCACCTATTATGCTATATTTGAACAATATATTATTGGGCCATATCCATACAAAATGCCCCATACCCCTCTTTTTCCGCCCTGTTTCCAAAGTGCTGATTCTGGGTCAGTAGCTTCAAATAAAAGCTGAGCTTTTGCTGGCCACGCCCCTTTCCGCATGCTAGCAGTGAGCTCTGAGTCTTTGAAGAGAAGAGTATCTACTCTACCGGCAGAGGTCAATGGAAAGCCAGTCCACATGTTAGTAATGTCGTCATGACTGCAGCTAATCTGGATCAGCTCCGTTGTGCTGCCGTTTTTAGAGATGAGGAGGAAAAGAGAGAGGGTTGTATGTCTGACACTTTGTGAGTCTCCTTTCACATATTTATGTATAAAACACATCAAAAGGGGCATTTTGCATAATAGGTAACCTTTAATATCTCACTATTTTATCTTTGTCACAAATATTTTAAAGAAAAAATGGAATATAAATGGATAGGTTTTCTTCCGTTAATTCAATGATTTAATTTGATCGGCTTTGAACATTTCAGAAATGCTTTCTTTGGTGGTTGTAACACTGATAAGTAAGAAACAGAGCTCGGACCAGCAGCCGGTCTTTTCTTTTTTCAAATAAATATGTAAAATATCTTCATTTTGTAATAAAAATAACATTTTATAATATTCTGCTGCATTTTGTGAGAAACCGCTTAAACACACATTTCATTCCTTTCACCACATTTTTTAGTAAGTCATTACAGATTGCAGGGGGTCAGACTTTTTGATCTGAACGTAATGCATTATTATTAGGGCTGCCAAGTTAACGCGTTAATAACGCAGCGTTAACGCAAAAAAAAATTAACGCCACTAATTATTTTAACGCGAATAACGCATGTGTATTTGTTGTCCTCGGCCGCCCCGTAGTTTCAGAGCATCGAGTTTAAAACACCATCTACAAGCTGATGCTGACAGCCCCGCTCCTGCCGCCCGCTTGTGGCAGACCACACTTCCACGCTCACCGGCAGGCACCGACTGGCCTTTGGGAGGACCGGGAGGGTGTGTGTATGTGTGGCCCGAGCGAGCGAGAGAGAGACCTTACGTGCATTGTTGTTGTTAGCATCTGGTGCTAGCTAGCTGCGCTAACGGATATAAGGAGCTGTTTAAATTAAAACAGAGGAGCGACATTTCGCCACAACTGCGCCGAGCACTTGACTTTATGCAGGAAGCCAGACAGTGGGACATTGTACGAGAAGTCAGCACACTCAGCACGGATAGTGCGCAACATGATTGCAGCGTCCAGGCAGCTCCCGTTCGAGCATATGCCTTGAGTTGCACATAGCTCCAACGATCCACACACACACACACACACACACACACACACACACACACACACACACACACACACACACACACACACACACACACACACACACACACACACACACACACACACACACACACACACACACACACACACACACACACACACACACACAGGTTGTTGTGTTTAATATTCATGAGAATATTTGTCATTGTTCAAATGATAATAAACATTAGCATAAAGTATATTTGTCCACTCATATGTTGATAACAGTATTAAAAACTTGAAAATATTCCTCTAAGGTACATTTAAAACAGATCAAAAATGTGCGATTAATTTGCGATTAATCGCGATTAAATATTTTAATCGACTGACAGCCCTAATTATTATATAACTCTTCATCCGTAAACATGTGTGTTGTCTTTATTTAACAGTGCACATACAAACTCTGGACATCCAAGAGGTGTTAGGACGCACGATGAAGGCGCTGGAATCCAACCTGTAACGTTGTCAGGCTTGGGGATTAAGGGATTACATGCAACAGGATTACGTCATTACGATACATAAAAAGAAAAAGGTAACTGTATTCCCTTACAGTTACATAAAAAAGACCTAATCAGATTACTATTACATTTAAAATGAGGGATTTCCAGCTGGATTAAAATGTGAGTTCTCTGTAAACTGCACTGCTCTGTGGGCTAATGCTAAGTGTGAGTCTATACGCCTACTGCCTGAATGTGCTTATGGTTTCCACTTTCTTTGCTTCATTCTTTCCATTTATAATTAAGTTTGGTGAACCTATATGATCATAAAAGAGTGTGTGTGTGCTTAACTGTATGTTATAAACCAAAACAGAGCATTTCCTGTCACCTTAGATCAGTGGTTCTCAAAGTGGGGGGCGCAGAGGCATGACAGGGGGGGCGCGAGAGACCAGGAGGAACAATGGTCATTAAAAAAAATCATAATTTCAAAGATTATTGATTCGAAAATAATATGATACTATTACGTCTGGGTCTCTGTGTTTCATTAAAGTTGTGTGTGTGTGTGTGTGTGTGTGTGTGTGTGTGTGCGTGCGTGCGTGCGTGCGTGCGTGCGTGCGTGTGTGTGTGTGTGCGTGCGTGCGTGCGTGCATGTGTGTGTGCGTGCGTGCGTGCGTGCGTGCGTGCGTGTGTGTGTGTGCGTGCGTGCGTGCGTGCGTGCGTGCGTGTGTGTGTGTGTGTGCGTGTGTGTGCGTGCGTGTGTGTGTGTGTTGCAGTAGAACATTCCTCTGTAGCGCCCGGGACATTAATGGGAAACCCTAAATGTTTGAGCACCCTCTATGAAACGTCAGATACCCCACAGCACCCCCAAAATAAATCTCTGGCGCCGCCACTGAGCCTGACTATATGTGTTGGGGGGCCGACTTCTTTTTTTTCTCCAAAGGGGGGGCCGGACAGAAAAAGTTTGAGAACCACTGGCTTAGATTGACTAAAAGTGAAGCAGCGTTCAGTTATGATGCTCCAAACATCTGGAGCTCCCAGAAACCTGCAGGTCCGCTGCAACTCTGACTACTTTGAAATCCAGCAAGAAGACTTTTCTTTTTGCCGCTGCTTTGAATTGCCTTGTGTTGACAGGTGCTTTATAAATCAACTTGCCTTCCTCTCTCAGTCACAGCAGAACTGAATCAATACATGGATCAGGACCAGAACACATCACAGACATGTTTACAGAGTTCTGTTTGCTGAAGCAACCTTTAGTCACTATGCTGTCCTTCTTGAAACTGCTCTAACCCTCAAAACAGAAAAAACACACGTTAGGATGATAATGTTGAGTTTTTTGTGTTCTTCAAATATGTTTTCACACTGATTTTACACTTTTTCTTTTATCAACAGTGCTAACATTTGCACTTTACAGTATGTGTCTCAAGATAACTGCTTGAACGTCCATACTTCACTAAAGAAAGTAGGTCTTTTGAGTAATGCTGATTATTTGTACCTGTTCCACTTTGCTGCCTTTGATCTCACTCAGCTTGAACTTGTAGCCATGGTCGTGGTTCTCGTCGATGTGATGTGCAGCCATCCGTGCCGCCGCAGCACCTCCATCCTCGCGGCAGGTCACCGGCCCCACAGCTGGAGCAGCGCTGCAGAGCAGAGCCGTGCAGCACAGCAGCAGCAGCAGGGCGGGTAGTCCCTTCATGGTGCGGGGACACGTGAAGCAGACGGCTGCAGCCAGGGCGGGTGGTCCCTTCATGGTGCGGGGACACGTGAAGCAGACGGCTGCAGCCAGGGCGGGTGGTCCCTTCATGGTGCGGGGACACGTGAAGCAGACGGCTGCAGCCAGGGCGGGTGGTCCCTTCATGGTGCGGGGACACGTGAAGCAGACGGCTGCAGCCAGGGCGGGTGGTCCCTTCATGGTGCGGGGACACGTGAAGCAGACGGCTGCAGCCAGGGCGGGTGGTCCCTTCATGGTGCGGGGACACGTGAAGCAGACGGCTGCAGCAGGGCCCTTTATAGACCTCAGAGGGAGGGGCAGATACAGGAGGTCAGTGATGGAGACTGAAGAGGGGTAGCATGAGGACAGGGTCACACCAAGTCAGTGAACAAACAGGACTTTCACCATGGCACTGCATGTCAGCTTAAACCTTTCCCTGGCACGGTAACATTTCTACTGAAGCGAGTCAAACAGAGAAACTGTCATTTGCATCGCAGCTTTACAAGAATGTAAAATCTTAGATCTCATAGCTGCCAATGTGTCATGCTGGAAGGAGATTGTGGCCAACATCCAGACCTACGGTACGACAATACTTTATGATCAGATCAAGTCTGACTTTGTTCTTGCATCACAACAGCACCATTCGCAAGCCCAAGCAACGTGTGCCCTCTCCGGCGAGCCCTGAGGAGCAGTGGAGCTCAGTGTTCCTCCTATAGATGTGTGTTGTGGACGTGAAGGGGTGAGGAGCCGCCTGGGAGCCATGACCGAGTGCTCACTCTGGATTTGAAGTGAACCGCTTCCCTAATAAAGGAAAAACAAGCATTTCAGCGACTTGAGTGTAGTATCGATACTAAGATCATCAGTAAAGGACCAGTATCTGAATGGAGGCATAATACCTTCACATTGCTGACTTTAGGGTCAATGTTTGAACATCTACTTTCTACTAACACACTTTTCTAAAAAACTGCAGGGATAGAAGCAGATGGATAAATACTGCCAACATGTGACCTCTGGTGTTTAATTTGGTTGACATCTACAGAAAGTAGGTGTCATATTATGATTGGATATGTGTATTTCTGAGGGAGGTGCTGTCGGTCGTTGATTGGAGTACAGGCAACAGTCTTCTTCCCAAGGTCACCATGCCCTACTGACTGTCTGTTTCTCCTGTCACGTGCTAAGCTCTGAGCGGCTCGTGCCTGGCACGGCGCCCTCTCCTGAACCTCAGCCAATAAACCTAATCAAAGTAGCAGAAATGCAGTTCCTTCCTTGTGTTGTGCTCACCGTTAACCCTGTCATGAAGCTCACTTCTCTTCAGCTTCAGACCTTCTGGTGGCACATTATTCATAAACATTTCTTTATGAGCAAGCACTAATGTTCTTCAATCTTTCCTTTCACATCATTTAATGATGTGAATATATGCACGTGATGGATTATAAAATACATAATCTGTGAAACTGTGAATAAATGTAAAATATAAAAGTATAAACGTATAAACGTATTAGGGCTGTCAAGTTAACGCCTTAATAACGCGTTAACGCAACAAAAAATTAACGCCACTAATTATTTTAACGCATGTGTATTTTTTGTCCTCGGCCGCCCCGTCGTTTCAGAGAGTATCGAGTTTAAAATACCATCTACGGGGAACTTCCGGCGACGAGGAATGGAGTAGACGCGTGTTTCTCCAGCTCCCACTACTTTTAACTTACAACTCACGTTTAAACCTCTTACCTGTAAACAATGCGGGGATTTTTGTTTAATTGTTTTATGTATTGTACGTATAACTATCTACTTTCCGTTGAAACGGCTAAATGGCTTTGAAAATAAGCAAAAAGGAGAAGAGAGACGAGGCAGCTACTACTGCTGTAGCTAGCATGCCGTTCTTGGTTAAGCTACTGGAGGATCACAGAGACACCCTTTCCAAGGAATTTAAGTCGGCTATGACTTCTCTGGAAGCGAAATTAGACTTTGTCCAGGAGACAGTTACAGACCACGGTAACCGCCTGACCTCCCTTGAGGCTAACGCGAATCAGCTCAGCGACAAAATGGAAGAGTTGGAGGCTAACGGCCCGTACACACAGCAGCTTTTGGCGATTTGTCCACCGCTTCCAGCGCGTCTCCGCCCATTGACTTTGAATGGGGATGACGTCACTTTCCCTCGCTTGTCGCCGAACTGCATTGTGGGGGGGCGAGGCGAAGATTTCCAGGATGTCCAGGATGTTCAGGATTCCAAAGTTGAACAATGTTCAACTTTTGAGGCTGAGCTGGAAGCGACAGCCAATCAGATCCGTTTATGCAAATCTGACAGTTCAAGCGCTAGCCAATCAAACCGCGTGCAAGCTGGGAGAACCAGACCCGCAGTTCATTTCTATATTCCACAAAAATGTAGGAGAAGTTAGTTATTGTGGTAGCAAATCACCCGGTTCTTTATGACCAGTCCCTATTTACTTACCGGGATACAAACCGGAGGAACCAGGCATGGAGGGAGGTGGCAGAGACAGTGGGTGAAACTGGTAGGTTTTCGCTTGTTTGGGGATTTTATATCCAGTTTACTTCGTTGCTAGTTTACTTCGTTGCTAGCAAGCATAGACAGTATCATTAGCCAGCATGGAATGTAGCATAAAATAGCACCATAGACATTGATCTCATAAATGTTTAAAGAAATAGTGGAGAAGAACCGGGGTTTTTTGCTTTGTATGTCGGGGGCGGGAGATTCATGTGATTGGTTGTTGGTCGCGAAATCCCCAAGCTTTCAGACACGCCCAGCTCCAAGATTTTCAAGATTTTTGAAAAGCTGCTGTGTGGACGTACCGTAAGTGCGCAGCAATGGAGGGAAGCTACAACAAGCTAAAGGCTAAAGCTATAGACCTTGAGTCACGCAGCCGCCGCAATAACATAAGGATAACTGGCTTACCGGAGTCGATTGAGGGTGCACGTCCCACAGACTTTTTTTCGAGACTGTTGGTGGAGCTTCTGGGTGACCAAGTCCTCACTACAGCTCCGGAGCTGGACCGAGCACACAGAGCCCTGACTGCCAAGCCAAGTCCCGGGTCAAGACCAAGAGCGGTAATAGCCCGCATCCATCATTTCAGGACGAAAGAGCTGATCATTCAGGAGGCCTGAGAAGTTTTCCACGCTTCTCTCGCCATACTTGACAACCGTTCTGGCCGAATCCTTTCAGCTGGGCTCGCTCCCCCCGTCTCTCAACGAGGCAATAATTACTCTTATATCTAAAAAAGGGAAAGACCCTACCGAATGTGCCTCTTACAGGCCTATCTCATTGCTGAACACAGATGCTAAAATCTTAGCCAAGGTTCTGGCTCGCAGATTGGAAGGTGTCATCCCACTAATAATATCATCCGATCAGACTGGGTTTATTAAAAACCGCTACTCCTTCTTTAATGTCAGGCGTCTCTTTAATATAATATATTCACCAACTGGAAACGTCCCAGAATGTGTTGTGGCTTTGGATGCGGAAAAGGCGTTTGATAGAGTCGAATGGAGGTATTTATTTACAGTTTTAGAGAAGTTTGGCTTTGGGTCATCGTTTATATCTTTGGTTAATCTATTATATGCTTCTCCCACTGCCGCAGTCCAAACAAATGGCACACTCTCGCAACCTTTTGCCTTGGGCCGTGGAACACGCCAAGGTTGCCCATTTAGTCCAATCCTTTTTAATTTGGCTATTGAACCGCTAGCGATTGCTCTCCGCAACAGTGCAGACGTTGCCGGTATCTCAAGGGGGGGCTCGGTGCATGAGGTGTCTTTGTATTGTAGAGTTATATTTGTATTTATTCATGTTAGCAAACTATGGATAAGCTTAAAATGAGAATAATTTGGGTAAAACTGTGAGCTGCATTTTGGGGCCTGTTGACATGTGTTTTTGAGGACAAAGGAAGATGGGGGAAGGTGAGAGCATGTCCTGATTTGCATTCAACTTAGAACGAGCCACAGTGGTTTGTGATATTAAGAGAGGTCCCTTGGGTTTCTCTGGTGCTTATCAATAGTAGCAGTTAAGTGAATACTGTTCAAACAATACCTGTGTTTGTGTTTTATATTGATTTCTCTGTTTTATCCTTTCATAAATGTAAGGACTACAAATGGCTATAAACATTCTGGGCTGGTTGGAGTAAACAGGGTTTTATTGCTCTGTGGGGGAGGTGTAGGTATGCAGGCCTTGAGACCTTTTGTTGGAAAGTGAGCCTGTTTGGTTTCCTGCTGGCCAGAGTTGCGTCTCCCAATGAGATGACCTGAAAAGATGACCAGCTGACCTAACACCAAACCCCTCCTTCTTACTCTGGTATATCTCCGGTGGATCCCTGGCGTTCGGCCTCTTCTTCACATGCTGCCCTCGGGTGAAAGTAGCTCTGCAGTATGCGAACCAGGGCAGGAGTAAGCCGGCATTACTCCTTAAGCATTACAATATAACTGTAATATATCATGTTGTATTGTAATGATTGTATTGCATTGTCATATTGCCATTAAAGTAGATTATTGTTAACTGTTACTTTGTAGATATGGATTCCTTCCTGTATTATAACCAGCTTCATAGGAACGCACGGAGATTTGAAAAGCGGACCAGTTATCCCTCCAAATCTCTAACAAAATGGTGACCCGACGTCTAGAGATAACGAAGCTGAGGAAGAATTCAGACGCTTTCAAACATCTCAGACAATCAGCAGGACTCTGCAACTTTGCAAATAAGGTAAGCAGACGATGAAAGTCGCCTGTCTGTAATTGGATACGCTAAAACTTTAGGATTGTCTGTAGGCGTTTCAAAGTGTTTTTATAGTTTAAATGGAATATACAATGCATATTTTACTATGTTAGGAAAGTTATATACAAAACGTAAACGTTGATCGACAGGTAGACGAAAGTCCTGCGTGACGTAAAATAGAGCAGTTTGGCGCGGATCTGCAGGTAGAATATTCCTGAGTGGCGTAGAGATGGTGCAGTTTGTGTGAATGCGAGGTTTGATTCCTGCACGGCAAAACCTGGAAACTCGATAAATCAGATCGAGTCGCCGTTTAAAACTGGGGTTTAAATAACAGACCAATGCTAAAAGCTTAAAGCCAGAGGTCTGTTATATATTAACCAAGGTAGAGCGTTTCCCTTTGTCTGGAAACTTCTGCTGCTGCCATCTAGTGGCTGAAAGGGGGTATCACACCCTTGAAACTTCTGCTGCTGCCATCTAGTGGCTGAAAGGGGGTATCACACCCTTGAAACTTCTGCTGCCATCTAGTGGCTGAAAGGGGGTATCACACCCTTGAAACTTA